GGCGTCGAGGAGTACCTGATGCCAGACGGCTGGGTGGCGGGTGGATGGGGCAGGGCACATAAGAGAGGGGCGCCCGCGTCAGACGGGTCCCTGCGCTCTTGGGCGCCGCGCGGCCGGGCCTCTTCGTGGATGACCCTTTGACCCCCGGGGCCCGATGGCACGACCTACCCAACCGCACGCAGCACACAAATGCACTCACTCGCACAGGCGGCCGTATCCAAAGAAAAGTATACAAACGACCACGGGCATACACACCCACACCCACACCCACACACACACACTCTCACACACACACACACATGCGCGCGCGTGCGCCCGTCTTACCGAGAGGATGATCCCCCCCATGTATTCGATACTGCGCGTCCCCTCCATCACCAACACCACCAGAGAGATGGAGTTCCTGCGGGGATGTGTGTGTGTGTGTGTGTGTGTTTGTGGATGATTCATTACGTGTGTGTGTGTGTATAGTATTCAGGTGTGTGTGTATAGTGTTCAGGTGTGTGTGATTATGTGTGTGTGTTTGTGTGTGTTTGTGCGTGCTTGTGTGTATTGTGTGACTCGTGGGAAGCAACACTTGTGGGTGCGATTGAGATGCTGTGTGTGTGTGTGGGGGGGGGGGGGGTCCGGGAGCATGAGTTTTCGAGATTTCGCGTGCAGGATGCCACGCCCGTGAGCGCAACAAGCGGGAGGGGGCCTCCGGAAGCGGGGCCGAGCCCGAAATGAATGGACACAAGGGGATGCTTGCTGCGGTGCACGTGCGAAGCGCAGGGCGCCGCGCTCGCGCCATCGGGCCGTATCCAGTCGAGGGGGGCGCAGCCGTCTTCCAGGGGGACAGGGCTATCATGCAGGCGCCCTGAGAGGGCAAAGTCGCCCTGCGGCCCGACCCTATAGCCAGCCTTCGCCCGCACAAACAAGAGTGTGTGCGCATCTCTTCCGCACCTGAACACGCCGCCGAGGGTGGCCGTGGCCGCCATGAGGCTGTACAGCCCGGGCTGGATGTTCCAGCCCGGCAGCCACATCCGCAGCCAGCTGCCCACGAGGCCGCCAGAGGTGGCGCCCGCCTGGCAATGCGACGCGCCCCGGCCGGGCAGGGCACGAGTCAAGGGCCCGCGAGGCGGGATGGCATCCGACACACACGGCGGCCGGCTTGCTGAAAGGGTCGACGCTGCCTCTCGTCTAGGATATGCACCCGCGACAGGGTCGGCGGGCGCAATCTGAATCTAAACACATGAGTGCAAGCGGGCAGGGTGCAAGCGTGGGCGGGCCCCACCAGGATTGACGGCACGAAGAGGCCGCCGGGGATGGCGGTGCCGGCGCCGAATGACATCAGAATGACGTAGATCACCAGGAACAGCACCAGGGAGCCCTGGGGGAGGGGGGGGGCCGGCCGGCCGCGGGAACGTCAGTTGGGTTGCTGGGCGGGGGGTGCGCGTGGTGGAGAGCGTAGCACCGGGCGGCGTGGCGTGGAGAACGTGGTTCCGGGGGTTCTAGGATCAGTGCGGCTTAGGGAGGGCGCCGGCGCGGTGGTTTCATTGCACATGCGAAGGTGTCAAGCCTCCCATGTACCTGCACGCATGTTCACACGCATGTACACACGCATGTCCACACACAAACACACGCTTGCACTTCACAGTCACACAAACACACACGTGCATGCATGCACGCTCATACCGAGGTACACGCTTTCGCTTACACACACACACAGACCAACACACACACACACACACACACACACACACACCGTCATCCTCACCCCCACCCATACACCCACATGCACACAAACACACGCCCGTCGCCCACCTGCGTGAAGTGCCGCACCCAGGGCTGCCCCGGCACCGCCCCCACGCTGAACAGGTGCACAATGGTGTCGTGGCCGCTGGACAGGAACAGGGTCGCCAGGTCGTTGTGGGTGCCCTCCTGCTCACACGTGAACCTTTGGGGGGGCACGGGCGGCCGGGCAGTCGGGGCGGTCGGGGCAGTCGGGCAGGGGGACGGCCGCAGGCGGCGTCTCGTGCGCTGGTGTCGATGCCGCCAGGCCGGGCGCTTCGGTGGCAGCAGCGGGCTTCGGACTGTTTGGCTCGTGCCGCAGGGAGAGCGGCGAGGCCGTGTTTCGCAGCCTGGATGCTCGCTGGATCCTGACTGTTTGGCTCAGGCTGTGCATGGGGGAGGGGCTGTCTGATTGTCGTGTCAGTAACCCACGGCAATTTACAGCCTGTCATCATCATGCGGGGCCGCACCTCATGCCGTAGCTCTCGCCCCACTCGGGGTCCTTGGGGACGCACTTGCCGGCAGCCCAGGGGAAGAAGAACCCGCAGATCTGGCCACAAGGGGAGGGGGAGGGCAGGTCAGGGGCGAAGAAGGGGGCCTGCGTGTGGGTGACACGCGGCACGTCGGCGCGTCGTTGCTCGCCAATCAAGGTGCTATTGAGGACTCAGGTATGATCGGTGCATGGTTCTCCCACCCACACACATAGACTAGCACATGCACGGCACACCACCAACGAGGATACCCCCCCAAAAAACGCAGAAACACATACACATGATCACACCCAAAAAACAGGTAGAAACACGCGCGCACACACAAACGCACACACACACACACACACACGCACACACACACACAAGACCTCTCGCCCTCAAACCCACACCACCAGCC